GGTAGACCATGTTGGACATGGTCCCTGTCGTCCAGGCATTTTGACCTTGGGTGTGTCTGTGTGTCTGTGGCTGGAGCAATGAGGTTGGTCTGGTTAAAGTAGAGGGATATGAATGGTATCTGGGGAAGGACAATTGTACCTTTGAGGTCAGTAGACATGGACACCAACAGCCTACTCCCAGTTTGTTTTGGGCTCCTTTGCCCACTGAATGAAGGACACTTGGAGAGGAGGAGTATACTGGGACTTGGGTATATGACTATTGACTATAAACAGCTTATGATAATAAGTGGAGATTGTTTCATTCATGCCTAGCACTGTGCCTGGCATACAGTAGATACTTAATAAATGCATGTTGATCGATTGGTATAAGGTTGCTCTGTCTCAGACGCCTTTGCTAAGGGGGAATGAGTTACTAAATTATAACAAGGTCTTCTATAAGGTAACTTCATCTATTACACGACTCTTAAACTAGGTAGTGTATCTGATAGAAATGTCAGCATAGCAAGTGGGGATATAGGCATGTAGTAGAAAGAGGGCCCTCTCTGGAGTTTGAAGACCTGGCATTGAATGTGGCCTATTCTGATAACTGGCTGTTTTACTGTGGATTAATTATTTCCTTTTTCTGAGTATTTGTTTTCCTGCAGCAAAATAAGAGGGTTTGGATTAGCTGGTCTGGAAGGTGCCATTGAGTTCTAAATCCTCTGAACCTATTAGGGACTTAGCTGACTGTGACAGTCTGTCACAAGGCACCACGTTACCCTCCTGAGTTGCCAAGAAAATGCAGCTACCAAGGAGACTTCAGATTTGGTGAGGAGGCTGTTTGCTGCAGGGAGGCAGCGCTGCCAGGCTGTTTCTGTAAAGCAATGGTTTTCAAAAGTGTGGTTTAGGAACCACTTGGGGTCCCTGACACTCTTTTAGGGACTTTGAGAGGTCAGAGCTATTTTTAGAATACCGATACATTGAAATCTCTAATACAGTAAAAATCGATTGATAGGATCCACATATACAAAAACTCTTCTGGGGAAGGGTCCTCAGTAATTTTTAAGAGTATAAAGGGTTCCTGAGACCAAAAAGTCTGACAATCACTGCTGTAGAGCATTGTGCTAGGAAATAGGAGCCCTGAGTTTTTTCCCTATGCTAGCCACCAATGAAATATTACCTATTAAGACAACCTGTGTATGTGTCCCAGTGAGAGACAGCTATGGGATAGTGAAGGAAGAGCTGGTCTTAACACCAGGAAGGCCAGGGTTTGCTTCCTGCTTCTGACATTTCCTGGCTGTGTGACCCTGGGTAAGGAATCGACTAAACCTCTCAGTGCATTAGGCACCTCTAAGATGCTAAGTTTCAGAGAGGGTGCTGATCTACATCGATAGAAAGACTACTCTCACCTGGGAATTCCTTTTTTCAAATGAAATCAGAGGTCCAGTGCCCACTTTCTTACAATAATAATAAAAATTACAGCTGATATTTAAATAACATCTTAAGGTTTTCAAAATACATCACATATATGATTTCATTTGGTCCTCATCCCCAACATACAGATGAGAAAACTAAGTCTGAGGGCATGAACTATATTTTATCCAAACTTTTTTTCTACCCTTGCACCTGGCAGGTACACACAGCAGGTACTTAATAAATGTTTAATGAATAAACTCTCATCCATATCCTGCACCTAAACTGAGGCTCTGGGTCTCAGTTTGTCCCTTCCCCTCCATGCACCCAGGATCTGGAATGCTGGGAACCCTGTGCTTTCCTACCTCCAAACCATTTTTACACAGTTCCCTCTACCTGGAATCTCCTCCCCCACCGTCATTCCTACCAGCAGAAATTCCTCAAGGAGGTTCCATTACAAACAGCCCCTTCTTCATGAAGGCTCCTTTGGTCTCCCCATTCAGAAGAGAGGAAATATGACACCAGGGCAAGTGATTTTGAGCAAATCACATCACCTTTCTGGGCCTCAGTTTCCCCTTTTGTAAAATGAGGACCTAGAAGGTCTCATCTAGTGTGAACAGTTGGGGCAGCTAGGTAGGGGAGCAGCTAGGAGGTGCAGTGGATAGAGCACTGGCCCTGAAGTTAGGAGGACCTGAGTTCAAATCCGGTCTCAGACCAGACACTTGACACTAACTAGTGTGTAATCCTGGCAAGTCACTTAACCCCAATTGAAAAAAAAAAAGTCCAGTAGTGTGAAGTCTCTGATTACCTTGTGATCTTTCCTCACTCTGAATTTCTACAGCATTTACTTGTACCTTTACAGTACTCATCATAAATGGCCTAGTATTAAAGTTGTTTGTAAACATGGTGGTACAGCTAGGTGGCACAGGACATAGAGTGCTGGGACTAGAGTTAGGATAGACCTGAGTTCAAATCCTGCCTCAGATACTTGCTAGCTGCGTGACCCTGGGCAAGACACTTAACCCTGTTTGCTTCAGTTTCCTCATCTGTAAAATGAACTGGAGAAGGAAATGGCAAACCACTCCAGTATCTTTGCCAAGAAAACCCCAAACAGGGTCACAAAGAGTGGTACATGGCTGAAACTGAACAACACCAACAAAAAACCCAACAACAAACCTGCCTTATCTCCTGTACTGACATATGGTTCTTAGTACACGCTTATTGGCTGACAGCTAGATCATAAGTTTCTACCATTTGGGTTTTCACCTTAAATATAGTTTGTATTAAAAAATAACCACTTGCATCCATAGTCTTCCTACCCATTATTTCATTTAGCCCTCATAACCTCCATATTTTTCTCCTATTTTAGAAAAGAGAAAGCTGAGGTTCAGAGTGGGCAAGCCAGGACTTCAACCCAGGTCTCCTGACTTAGGACACCAATCACACTACTTCTTGAATGGCTGGATGTGAGACTGGATGAACTCCACGCCTAGGGAGGCCCAGGTTTGACCATGGATCTACTGACTCTGTCTTCATTGCTTCTCCACTGATTCCCTGGGATCACTACCCTATGTGTCAGGCATACTACCTACCCACTCGTCTCCAAGAGTGCATCTTAACCTGTCTTCCAGCATTCCTGAGTGTGTGTACTCTACTAATGTCCAATGTTCTCCCCCTCCCCCTCCCCCACTTTTGCTTTGCATTTATTTATTTGCCACCTATAGTTTCCTTCTAAGTAGAATGCAAACCAATTGAGGGCAGGAGCTATCTCCCTGTTCTATCTTTGTATCCCTCGTGCCCAACAGAGTGCCTGTCACCTAAAAACCCTAGATACTTTTGAATGAAGAATGAATGAATATGTGATTGGGGTTAGGGAAAGAAGAGTCTAGGGGATCCAAGGAGGGACAGAGAAAGACCAGGTTTGGGGAATGGTAGGTAATCCTCCCTCATGGGCAGGATGCAGGGTCCTGAGTCAGCCAACCTCATAGGTAACTGCAAACCAGGAAGTCATCTGTACTGGATGTTGGAGGAAAGGAAGGAGCCCAGGGTTGGGGGTTGGTTTATCTGATTAACAGAAAAGTTTCCTTATCTGTTAAATGGAATACAGCATCCTGCTTGGCTGGGTCCTCGGAGCTGTTAGAGAGAAAGGGCACAGTACAGAGGTACGGGACTATGAAGGCAAGAAAGATCAAGATGGTCCTTTCCTTTCAAACTCTGTCTTAGGTTACAGACTTCACCATATAGAGATACTATTTTGTCCGGGGTGTGACTCCTTGATTTTAGAGGAAATCAGACTCAGCCACTGCTGGCTTTTAGATCTTGTCAGAGACCGGACACTTGTGCCACCCTATTCCTGAGGAGGCTGTGGGAGAATTGTTTCCTTCATCTTTGCTAAGAGGACACTCACAGTGCTATTGAGTATTTTGAGGGATCCCTGGAAAGCAGAGAGATTGAGGTTCACAGGATAAGCTGGACAGGAGCCTGCCTCTGTCTTTGAGTGGTTGGGGGGAGGAGGAAGCAGAACACTCTGTCCCATAACTGGCCTCCCCAAGTTGCTCAGCCAGCTCGAGGAAAGCCTATGCCCCACCCTGCCCCCACTGCAAAGATTCCCCAAAGCCCAAGAAACAGGTTTCCTTGGGCTACGTTGGTTTCTTCATCTTCGTTCCCTGTTGTCCTTCACTCAACCATGGAAGTCCCTGTCCTGAACTCCTGTATTGCCAGTTCTTGTGGGGGGGGGGGGGCAGAGCCAGGATATCCTCATCTCTTAGCATTTCTCTGCTTCAGGGTACATGCCATCTGTTAACTACATCAGTCAGCCTAAAAACTCTCTCCTCTTTGTACCTTCTGGGAGGTACCTGTTGGGAGGCTCAAGGGTCCTAGTTCAGGTCTCTTAAGGATACCCCAACATTAGTTGTGAGCTCAGGCATCAGAATCTCACTACAAAAGCCAACCTTGATTTTTCACTTTCTTTACACTTTGAGATCTTCTGGGCAAGAGGAGAAAGGAGACCATGTAACCCCACCCCCACCCCAACCCTCAACCTCACAAAAGAATGAAGACTAACACCTTTCATGGGATTGGATGATACTTCTCAAAGCAAGATCGAGTTGGGCTGCGCGCTAGTTCAGTGGGTAAAGCACTAGCACGGGATTCAAATCCTGCTTCAGACACTGTGTGACCCTTGGAAAGTCACTTAAGCTCTCTGCCATAATTTTTCAAAAATGAAGCAGTTGGATTTGAGTGCCTTTGAGGCTCTTTCCAGCTCTGAATCTATGGTCCTCAGTTTCCTCATCTGTAAAATGAGGGGGTGGCTTTTGAAGTCTCTTCCAACCATAGATCTTTGATGTTAGGGTTCCTCCACCCTCCTCAACACACACACACACACACACACACACACACACACACACACACACACACACACACACCCCAGGTGATTCCTGCAGTTTGTGTGTGTCTGGGGCCAAGCCAGAGATGTGCCCTTGTCCTGCAGCTTGGGGAAAGACCAGGGGACTAACCCATGTCCTCTGGATCTGCCCACTCCAGCTGGCCTGCCCCAGACTTCCCCAAGCTCTCTCAGCCCCACTTCCAGAAGCCAAAAAACATTTTACCTTGCCTGGGACCACCAAGGGTAGGGGCAGCAGCACGACTGGAAACAGGATGGATATCAGATACTTTCGATAAGCCCATAGGATCTGCCCCAAGTTCACCATGGTGGCGGAGGGAGCTGGCCGGTGCTGAACAGAAGAGTTGGTCGGCCCGGGAAGGATTATATAAAGCCAGTCAAGTGTTAACCATTGACCATGGCAAACTGGGTGTTGTTTTTGGAATCCTGAAGGTGAGAGAACTTGTACTCTGGGCAGGCTCGAAGGAGTGAGGGAGGAGCAGACTGGAGAGGAGGTGGAGGAGAGGAGGCGGAGTGACCAGGAAGACTTTGTAAAGAGAGGTGTGGAAAAAAAAAGAAAGAAAGGGAGCTTTTATATTCTATTACGGGAGATTAGGTGGGGTTAACTCCTTGTGTATTTTTCAGATTTTGGCTCCCTGGTTGGTTGAAGGTGTTTTCTTTATCTGTTCTTTTTTTTTTTAAATTAATTTATTTTGATTGATCAACAATCACTTCCATAAGCTTTTGAGTTTTAAATTTTTCTCCCTCTCCCTCCCCACTCCCTCCCTAAGATGGCGCACAATCTGATAGAGGCTATACATATACATTCCTATTAAACATATTTTTACATTAGTGATGTTGTAAGGAATAATCAGAACCAATAGGAGGAACCCCCGGAAAGGGGAAACAAAACGCAACAGAAGAAAAAAATAGCAAATAGTATGCTTCAATCTGCATTCAAATTCCATAGTTCTTTCTTTGGATGTGAATAGCATTTTCCATTATGAGGCTTTTGGAGATGTCTAAGATCCTTATCTTGCTGAGAAGGGTTAAGTCTATCAATATTAGTACCTAACAGATTATGTTATTCCCTTCTTGAGCCAAATCTGATGGCAGTAAGGTTCAAACAATGCTCATCTCCCTCCCTTCTTTCCCTCTGCTGTAATAGGTTTTTGTGCCTTTTCTTGTAATGGAATTTATCCTTGTCTGCCTCCTCCCTTCCTTTTCTCTCAGTACATTTTCTTAGATCAGATTAACCCACTTACTTGGATCCATTTAACCCACTTGATTAGATTTTTTTCATCATTACGTCAAAGTCAACTTATACCCACTCCCTCTATGTATACCCCTTTAACATGGTGTGATAACAATACAGTTCTTAAGGGTTACAAGTATCATCTTTCCTTGTAGGGATGTAAACAGTTTGCCCTTATTAATAACACGTTGTTTCTTTCTGCCTTGTTTACCTTTTTATTACTGTCTTGAGTCTTGTATTTGAGGATCAAATTTTCTGTTGAGCTCTGGTCTTTTTATCAGGAAGGTTTGGAAGTCTTCTATTTCACTGAATATCCATCTCCTCCCTTGAAAGATTATGCTCATTTTCACTGGGTAGTTGGTCCTTGGTTGTAATCCAAGCTCCTTTACCTTATGGAATATCATATTTCACACCCTACAGTAATGTAAAGGTTGCAAGGTCCTGTGTAATTCTGACTGTGGTTCCATAGGCATTGGGGGGTGGGGAGGGAAAGACAGAAAGCAAAATAATCCCTCTGTTCAAGGAGCTTTCATTTGCCCAATTCTAATTTTTAAAAAATTGTTTTTTCTATTAGATTTTGTACCTCCTTCCCCATTTGGCCAATTGTGTTTTTTAGGGACTTGTTTTCTTCAGTGTACTTTTTTTCCAGTTGGCCAACTGTAGTTTTTAAGGACTTATTTTCTATAGTTAATTTTTATCCTTCCTTTTCCAAGCTATTGACTCTCTCTTGAATACCTCTCATTTCTTTTCCCATTTTTTCTTCTAACTCTCTCATTTGACTTTTAAAATCCTTCTTGAGCTCTTCTAAGAAGGCTTTTTGGGCTTCAGACCAGTTCATATTCCCTGTTGAGGTTCCAGATGTGGGTTTGTTGACAATCTTGTCCTCTTCAGAATTTCTGCCTTGATCCTCACTCTTCCCATAATAAGAATCTATTGTGTGTTTCTTTTTGCTCATGGTGTTTGCTTATTTCCTGGCCTTTAAGGAGATTGAGCTCTCCTACTGGGGAGTAGAGGGCACTGACCCAAGCTTCTTGTGTTGGGAGCCTAGGGCCTGGTCACTGGCTTTGTGTGCTGGGGCCTCCAATGTTGGTAGTTGGAGGCTGTAGAGTTCTGGTGTTGGGCTGGAATCAGCAATACTGGACCTCTAGGGGTAGGATTGGGTAGTGTGGCTCCTGGAGATTTCCTGCTCATCCAGGCCTTTCCTTCCTTTTGCTTTCTTCAGCTCCTTTCAGATGGATGTTGCAGGATGTTTATCCACCTGGGACCCCTTGGAGCGCTGTTTCCCTTAGTTTTGCTGAGGCACTGGAGAATTGGTTGCTGTAGAATGCTGAGGCACCTGGTGGTTTTCCAAGCTGGTTTCCACTGGTTCCCCCACCCTTACTGAGGCACTCGGGGGTCTAGGCGTTGGCGTTTGCCTGCTCCACCACCTGGGTTTCAGGATCTCCTCCTGGTATGCTGTGGTGGGGCTTTTTGCTAGCTTGCTGGGACACCTCCAGTTCTGTACTGCTCCCCTTCCCCCAGGGCAAGAGGGGCCTTTCCTGTTAATCCCTCTAGCTACCTGGGCTGCCAGACTGCTGCACCCCATCTTTCTTCTGGTTCAGCTGTGACAGGGTTTTTCTGGGGGCGATATTCTCTGGGCTTTTCCTGAAGGTGTTTTCTTTGGCTAAAGAAGAGCAAATGGGAACTTCCCATCTTTAGCCCACTAGATGCCAGCCCTCTGTTCAATTCAGTGCAGCAAGCAATTATGAAGCACCTACTATATGCCAGGCACTGGGCTAGGCATTGGGGGGTGGGGAGGGAAAGACAGAAAGCAAAATAATCCCTCTGTTCAAGCAGCTTGCATTCTATCAAGGGAAACAAAGCATATCATTATTGTTGTTATTGTTGTTTGTCCTTTGTTCTGGAAGAGGACCATCGCTTCAGGAAGGAGATGCCATGATATGCAGATGAGTTAGATGTAAGTGAGGCAGGGTTGTGCTCAGTCACCAGCCTTTCTCCTCTCTTTCTCCTCTCGAGCCATCTGGGTCTAGTGGCCAGATATAGATCAGGATAACTGGAGATCGGCCAGGATGCAGTGGGGGACCTTGGCCTTTTCAAGTTAAAGTCTTTAACAGGTCTCAGTTTGACTGAGGCAACACCCATTCAGTGATTAGGGTTAGGTAAGAAATGAGGCAGAAAATGGCCCCTTTACCTATTAAAAAAATTGATCTGGGAGGGGAAGAACTCCAGGGTTTCTGGGCAAAACAGAAACAATTGCTATTTAATTCATTTTGAGCCAAGCAAGGACCAAGTAGGGCTTCGGTTGGGACCTGTTGTTGGGAGGAGGGAGAGAGAGAGAGAGGAGAGAGGAGAGGAGAGAGAAGAGAGAAGAGAGAGAGGAGAGAGAAGAGAGAGAGAAAGAGAGAGAGAGAAAGAAAGGAAGAAAGGAAGAAAGAAAGAAAGGAAGAAAGAAAGAAAGAAAGAAGGAAAGAAAGAAAGAAAGAAAGGAAGAAAGAAAGAAAGGAAGAAAGAAAGAAAGAAAGAAAGAAAACAGTGTTGCCCAGCTGGCCAGTTCCGTTTGGTCTCCAATGGGCAGCTCCTTTTCTACTCACCGAAGTGGTTGTTTGTACTTTGCTCTTGAAGAGGACCATGACACCAGGGAGGTGATACCATAAATTGAAAGTTTTATCTATTATTATTTATATATGTAATTAATGAATAAAGACATATAGACATACATGGATTAATGAAGAAATAAAATACAGTAGAAAGAGTGCTAACTCTGGATCAGAGATTGTTGTTCAGTCATTTCAGCTGTGCCTGCCTCTTTGTGACCACATTTGGGGTTTTCTTAGCAGAGATACTGGAGTGGTTTGCAATTTCCTTCTCCAGCTCATTTGACAGATAAGGAAACTGAGGCAAACAGGGTGAAGTGACTTGTCCAGGGTCACACAACTAGTAATTGTCTGAGGCTTGATTTGAACTCAGGAAGATGAGTCATCCTGACTCTCGGCTCTTCATTCTTTGATACCTGGATGCCCAGAGTCAAAGAATGTGGGTTCAAATCTCCGCTCGGATGCTGACTGTGAACTCACTTCTCAGGGCCTCAGTTTCCTCAGTTGTTCCATGTTCCAAACATGGTTTAAATTTGGAAAAGGAGTAGGATAAGGCTATCTATTGTCACTTTATTTATTTAACTTCCATGCAGAGTCCATCATGAGAAATGCCAGTCTGGATGAATCAAAACCCAGAATTAAGGTTGCCAGGAGAAATATCAACAATCTCAGAGATGCAGATGATACCACTTTGATAGCAAAAAGTGAAGGCGAATTAAGAAGTCTCTTGATGAGGGTGAAAGAAGAGAGTGTAAAAGCTGGCTTAAAGCTCAGCATCTAAAAAACTAAGATCTCAGCAACTGGTCCCATCAACTCCTGGCAAATAGAGAGAGAAGAAAAACAAGCATCATCAGATTTTATATTCTTGGGCTCAAAGATCACTGCAGACAGCAACTGCCGCCATGAAATTAAAAGGCGCTTGCTCTTTGAAAGGAAAGCTTTGGCAAATCAGGACAGAGTACTAAAAAGCAGAGACACCACCTTCTCGACAAAAGTCTGAATAGTCGAGACTATGGTTTTTCCAGTAGCAATGTATGGCTGTGAGATTTGGACTATTAGGAAAGCTGAACGAGCAGAATCAATGCTTTTGAATTATGGCACTGGAGAAGACTTAGAAAAAATGTTTTTTTAAAATTCACTTCAAACTTAAATACAAAACAAGAAAAAAGAACATTTCCACATACACAGCAGAACATTAAAAGAGGATCCAATATAAAACAATAAATTTCCATTTCAAACTGTTTACTTTTTTTGGAAAAACAATGTAATAAGTACTACACATTGTTTTCAAAGCTACCCAGCTTTTCTGTGTTTCCAAGTTTTCTTTTGTTCTCTGCTGTGTACTTTTTTTCTCCCTCTCTCCCCATCCTGCCTTATAGAAGGCTACAATTAGACATGAATATATGTATACACACACACACACACACACACACACACACACATGACATACATACACATATATGTAAGACCATGCTATACATATTTCTATTTGTTAATTCTTTCTCTGGAGGTAAGTAGTATCTTCCTTCATAGGTCCAAGCCTTTCCATGTTTTTCTAAAATT